ATTCTTCTTCTTCTTAATTGGCTCTGTAACCGCCTAAGCGATTTTGGCCGAGTCCAAAACAGCACGCCAGTCATTTCTCTTCTGTGCTAACTGACGCCAATTGAAAATGCCAAGTGAAGCCAAGTCCTTCTCCACCTGGTCTTTCCAACGCAGAGGAGGCCTTCCTCTTCCTCTGTTACCAGCATCGCGGCCCGCGTTGAATATTTTCAGAGCAGGAGCGTTTCTGTCCATCCGAACGACATGGCCAAGCCAGCGGAGCCGCTGAATTTTAATTCGCTGCACTATGTCTATATCGTTGTAAAGCTCATACAGCTCATCGTTAAATCGTCTGCGATATTCGCCATCACCAACGCGTAAAGGTCCGTAAATCTTTCGCAGAATCTTTCTCTCGAAAACTCCAAGAGCCGCCTCATCAGATGCTTTCATTGTCCATGCCTCCGCGCCATACACCAGCACAGGCATGATGAGTGACTTATAGAGTGTGATCTTTGTACGACGAGAGAGGACTTTACTTCTCAATTGCCTACTCAGCCCAAAGTAGCACTTGTTGGCAAGAGTGATTCTCCGTTGGATTTCAAGGCTGACATTATTATTGGTGTTAATGCTGGTTCCCAAATAAACGAAGTCGTCTTCTTTTTCAAACTTGTAACTGTCAACAGTGACGTGGGTGCCAAGACGCGTATGCTCTGACTGTTTGTGTGATGACAGGAGATACTTCGTTTTGTCCTCGTTCACCACCAGACCCATTCGCTTTGCTTCTCTATCCAATCCCGAGAAGGCAGAACAGACGTAGCCCTTGTTTTTACCAATAATATCGATGTCGTCGGCATACGCCAGCAATTGTACGCTCTTATAAAGTATTGTGCCTGAGCGGTTCAGTTCTGCGGCTCTTATTATCTTCTCCAACATAAGATTAAAGAAATCACACGAAAGGGAGTCCCCTTGTCTGAAACCTCGTTTGGTATCAAACGGCTCGGAGAGGTCCTTCCCTATTCTGACGGAGCTGGTGGTATTGCTCAACGTCATTTTACATTGCCATATTAGTTTCGCGGGGATACCAAATTCAGACATCGCGGCATAAAGGCAACTTCTCTTCGTGCTGTCGAAAGCGGCTTTGAAATCGACAAATAGATGGTGTGTGTCGATCCTATTCTCGCGGGTCTTTTCCAAGATTTGGCGTATTGTGAATACCTGATCTATGGTGGATTTTCCAGGCCTAAAGCCACACTGATAAGGTCCAATCAGCTCGTTGACGGTGGGCTTCAGTCTTTCGCACAATACGCTCGATAAGACCTTGTAACCTATGCTTAGAAGGCTAATTCCGCGGTAGTTGGCGCGTATGGCGGGGTCACCTTTCTTGTGGATTGGGCAGAGCACACTTAAATTCCAGTCGTCGGGCATGCGTTCATCTGACCATATTATGCATACGAGCTGATGCATGCACCTCATCAGCTCCTCGCTGCCGTACTTGAATTGCTCGGCTGGCAGGCCGTCAGCTCCAGCAGCTTTGTTGTTTTTCAACCGCGTAATCGCTATACGTACCTCGTCATAGTCAGGCGGTGGGACATCTACTCCATCATCATCGACTGGGGACTCGGGTTCGTCTTCCTCACTACTTTCAGCGCTGCTACCATTCAGTAGGTTATAAAAGTGTTCCCTCCACAATTTAAGTATATTCTGGACATCGGTCACTAGGTCGCCATTGTTGTTCTTACAGGAGTTCGCCCCGGTACTGAAACCTGCCGTAAGTCCCCTAACCCTCTGGTAGAACTTTCGGGCGTTCTTCCTGTCGGACAGCATCTCAACGTATTTCGGCCTCTCTCTTCTTATTGCGGCAAATACGTCTCGCTTCCTTCTTCAGTTCCCTATAACGGTCCCACATGGCTCGCGTTGCGCCCGATCGCAGCGTGGCCCTGTAGGCGGCATCTTTTTTCTCTGCGGCTTCTTGACATTCCTCATCGTACCAGTTGTTCTTTCGGGCTCGCTGAAATCCAACTACTTCTTCGGCGGCGGTACTTAATGATCGGGAAATGTGGTTCCACTGCTCGCGTACGTTGGATTGTTGAAGAGTGCTCTCAGAGAGCAGGTGTGTGAGTCGAGTGGCGAATAAATTGGCCGTCTGTTGTGATTGCAGCTTTTCGACGCTAAGCTTTCCTTGCATTGTTGGGCGCACATTTTTTGCTGCACAGAGGCGGGTGCATATCTTGGCTACAACAAGGTAGTGGTCCGAGTCGATGTTTGGCCCTCGGAGTGTACGTACGTCCAAAACGCTTGAAGCATGCCTTCCGTATGTCACAACATGATCGATTTGGTTTCTCGTTTTTCGATCTGGAGACAGCCATGTAGCTTGGTGGATGTTCTTATGCTGGAACCTAGTACTACATATTACCATATTTCTGGCCCCGGCGAAGTCGATCAGCCTCAGTCCGTTATCGGACGTTTCGTCGTGGAGGCTGAATTTTCCGGCAGTGGCGCCAAAGATCCCTTCCTTGCCCACCTTGGCATTAAAATCGCCAAGCACGATTTTGACATCGTGTCGGGGGCAGCGCTCATATGTACGTTCCAAGCGCTCATAGAAGAGATCCTTGGACGCCTCATCCTTCTCTTCCGTCGGGGCATGGGCGCAGATGAGCGAGATGTTGAAGAATCTAGCTTTGATGCGGATTGTGGCTAGACGTTCGTCCACCGGGGTGAACGCCAGTACTCGGCGACGGAGTCTCTCTCCTACCACGAATCCAACACCGAATTTGCGCTCCTTTACGTGGCAACTGTAGTAGACATCGCAAGGCTTCACGCTTACTTTACCTTGCCCCGTCCATCGCATTTCTTGGATGGCGGGGATGTCAGCCTTTGTCTTCCCGAGGACATCAACCAGCCGGGCAGAGGCACCTTCCCCATTAAGGGTCCGGATATTCCAGGTGCATACCCTTAAATCATAGTCCTTTATACGTTTGCCGTGGTCGTCATCAGAAAAAGGGGGTCTCATCCGAGGCTGTTTTTTTCTTTTCATTGGGCGGGGTTTTAACGTGGCGGGACCCAAACCCAGCGCACGCGAAGTTTTACGCCTTCTCACTTTAGCACGCTCCCAAACGGGTGTTTGGTTGCTACCCAGAGGATACGTGGATATAAATATCCGGACGTTGTGAGCTGCGATTTGAACCGTACGCACAAGAATCGCTTCTGGCCACTCCCAGGTGAATGGCAGTCAAAAGTTTTCCACTTCTGCGCACGGAACCATTATACATTAATACAACAAATATATGGAAGGCAGGGTGTCCAGATTGTTTAAGAAAAAGCACAATTTCTGAAAAAAAAACCCCAAAAATCGCCATTTTTTTTAAATAAAATTCATGAAATCGATTTAACAAATCTTTTATTTTAAAAATGAGATCTTGTTATAATATAGTTTTTAAAACCAAAAACGAATATAATACCTTCAGAGGGTAATAATAAGCAACACAAATAACTTATATAGTAGTGATGTACAAACAATTTTCTTTAAAAATACGCATACTTTTTAAAAATATTTGTTTCAACACATCTTGCAATAGGACGGCGCAGTTATTAAATTATAACTCGTATTAATTGATTAATCGCACAATCCGCTTTTAAGAGCTCGGCGCTAAAAATAAAATAAATAAGGCGAGATCAGCTATTTCTACAATTTTTTCAAAATCACCTATAGTGTATGAATTATTTACATTTCTGTTGTTGTCATATATTGACCTATTCAACCTTGATAACATACAGCCCAATTCTGAATATTCCCGAGGATTTCTTTTCTCGCGGATTTTACTATTCTCGAGAATAAAATCCTCCTATTCTAAACTGCCAGGGAGCACAATTTTCCGCGAAAATTTGGGAGCAGGAAATTCGAACTTTCGAAGAGCTGTTTGACAGTTTTTTGACAGCTCAACACCAGCTATTTAATTTGCGCGTTTTACACATGAAAGTTTGTTTCATACCAATTTCAATTAACAAATTGCGACGAATAAGTTTCAACTATAGGAATAAAACAACTAACAACTAATAGTGTAACGTGTTAAGTAAATATAAACATACAAATTAAGATATTAAGCGGCTGTTTTAAGGCAGGATAAGAGTAATCAGTGTACGTATATTTCGGAAATTTGCAACAAATACCATATTCCCAACCGACCTTATTGTTAAATTAGTGCAATAGCGTAATAAAGCGTGAACTGTTGTCTACAAGTGTGTGTAAAAGGTTTTTGATTCGATTCACGCGTTTGGGCACGGCAACCCAAAATCCTACAAATTCATAAACAGTACCCAAAGTGTATTTCCGATTAATATTGTTGATGAATTAGTGCGCGGAAACTTAAAATCTGTGCTTTAAATTAAAGTTCCATCTTTTAACTACACGGGTAAGTGGAAAGATTTTAATTTAGATCGCGCGTTTCCTTGTAATAACCCGAAATAAGTGGCACAATTGCATGAGAGTACCCTTTGCTAGGTCCAGTTGCCTCTATGAATTTTGGAATCCCCATTATTAATAAACTAGTGCCCCGGAAATTTAAATATTAGTGCTAAATTAAAGTTTGTTCTTTTAACTACACGTTTGAGTTGAAAGATTTTAATTTCAATCGCGCGTTTTCACGTAATAAACGAAAATAAGTGGTCAAATAGCATAAGGGTACCCTTTGCTACATCCAGTTGCCGGTGTATATTATGGAAGCAACATTACCAAGGAGCTAGTGCTCCGGAACTTTAAATATTAGTGTTAAACTAAAGTTTAATCTTTTAACTATACGTGTAAGTTAAAAGTTTTGGATTTGGATCGCCGGTTTCCATACAATAATCCAAAATACGTGGTCAAATAGCATAAGGGTACCCTTTGCTACCTCCAGTTGCCTCAGAGAATTTTGGAATCCATATTATTAATAAACTCCGGAACTCTAAATATTAGTGTTAAACTAAAGTTTAATCTTTTAACTACACGTGTAAGTTAAAAGTTTAGGATTTGGATTGCCGGTTTCCATACAATAATCCAAAATACGTGGTCAAATAGCATAAGGGTAGCCTTTGCTACCTCCAGTTGCCACAGTGAATTTTGGAATCCACATTATTAATAAACTAGTGCTCCGGAAATTTAAACATTAGTGCTAAATTAAAGCTTAATCCTTTGTAGGACAACGTCAGTTTTGGAAGTGCCCATCGACAAATAAAAGAATGCATTCTATCGCGTTTCGCTCAGTGACAGAGGAAGTGGAAGAGGAAGAACGGTTGATGGCGCAGAGGGTCGAACGACGAAAATTGCGTGATGCCATAAATCCCTTCAAGTTGCCGCAATCTTTGTAAGTTACAATTTTTTCCCAGTACTACAAAAAGGTATCGCTAAGCGAGGAATCAATTCAGTTTTTGGAGAAACTAAACAAATTCGTTGATTGCTAGCTTATTGGTCAAAATGGATGAACAAGTCATTACTCCTTTATTGCTCGATTTTTGGCATTACTCCTTACATTTTTAAATAATTACATATGAATTTTCTCAATTACACACATACATAGATTTGAAAAGTATTACCGACTTAACAAGGCGGGATTCCAATATTTGTTGGACGTATTGACAGCAAATACGGAGGCACCAAAGAAGGCTTTTGCGATATCTCCCATCGCAAAACTGAGCGGGTGTTTAAAATTTTTGGCTGAAGGTGGGTACCAGACGGGTGTGGGTAAAGACTGCGACGTGTCGTTGGCGCAATCTAGTTTCATCAAAGTGTTGACGGAAGTGCGGACCGTTTTTGAGCGCCATTTGTGCCAGCAGTGGATAAAGGTGAGCGAAAGCGAGGAGGAAAACAGGAATATCGCCCGAGCCTTTTACGTTAAATATGGCATTCATTTCAAAGTCAATGTTGACATTGAACTTGAAGTGTTGGAGCCTGAAGATGCGGATATAACACCAATTGCTTCTCCGCAGTATAGTGCACTAGCACAGTCGTATAGAACACATATAGGATCCGCTCTTTAAATAATACGCAACTATAAATAAATAACCTGCAAAATAAATACCTGCAACATGCAACGCACAAATTTGAATTCATAGCCAAAGTGGCCGCCCAAAAGTTACTTATTTGTCTTGGTTACCTATGCTACCGAGTGTGAACAATTTTTTGCACGAATTATGAAAATTCTTGATTTTCAAGAATGGTATGAAAGGAATCAATCAAGCCTGCTAGTACGCGAAAATTCGTTTCCATTGGAAGAGCTGAACGGCGCAATGGAGCAGGCTCTATGTAGTTTGCAGTGATGAAGAAGATAACAGTGAAAACATTTCGGTAAATGGCACAAATACAGAAGAACCATTTAAAGACACCAAATCAGCAAACCGCCTGTATTGAAGATGCGCAAATCTCATTACTATCGAAGAGGAGGAAAGAACTTGAAGCCAGAAAGAATGTGAAAAAATTGTACAATGCAAAACTGGAAGTAAGTTGTCGATCGGAAAGTGGAAACTTTTCCTTAATATACCATTATAATCTTTGATTTATATTTGCTGGGCAGGAAATTCTGAAATTTGTAGATACAAAGGTATATATAGAAGTGCGTCCAAGATATCTTATGCCGGACACAAATTGTTTTATTGATTGCCTCGACGACTTTGAAAAACTTATTCGGGATTTCAAACGTTACATACTTGTTATTCCGCTCACAGGTAAGGCTTTTGCTTATTCAAAATTCGAAGTGTAGCAAAACAATGTTGCCTCTATTTTGTAGTTGTGAAAGAATTAGATGGCCTCTCGAAGGGCGTAGAAGTAGAATCATACCAAAACTCTTAACAAATGCATCGTATACATCCCTATGATGACGTTGCGCTAAGCGTTCGTTGGATTTCATAAGGAGTGCAAAAAATAATATCAAGTACGATCATAACAATTTTTATTGCTACAATTATTAAAATTATATAAATAAATTCGTGTACAGGTGCGCCACAACGAAGGGGTCATTTATTAATGCATCGTTATTTGCAGAGTTGGGCAAAATTTATTCGAATGACGAATAACAAATGAATAAATTGTTTTTCTTGTTATTCGTAGATAATAAATAATTTTGTTTATTCAAAAAAAAATTATTCGAATGACGGATAAATTATTTTATTCGTTATTCGAATAATTAATATCTTCATTAATTATTCGAATAACGAATAAAATAATAATAAAACAAGTAATTTATGTATATAGATATGTACATATATTTATGTATAAAATGATAACCGTTTTCGTTGTTGCGATTTAACTCAAACCCCTGGATAGATTTAAGTCAAACTTTCGGAGGTTATTCCCTGCGCATCAAGTCCTATTAAAGGCTACTAGAAAACTCCTTGGTGGCGATGAAGCCGAGTTATTTATAAAAGCCGTATTTATGAACCGATTGCGTTCAAATTCAAAATGTGTTCTTCCTGCATGATGAAAAATACTTATGCGAAAAATGGACCCGCTAGGTGGCGCTGCAGTTGATTTATTTAGAAAATCCCTATTTATTGTACAATCAGGTTGCAATTCATAATGGTGCTGCTGTCGAAATCATTAGTCATATGTCTGCACTACTTTGTTTTTTATGTTTATATTATACGAATTTACGATGTCTCACGTCGTCATACACCCTAAATAAATGTGACATTGCATCTACCTCCGCTTGATGAAATTGCTCGGACGGCCATTGCTGCAGCAGTAAGACTCAAGGAATCCAGCTCTTGGATATTTTAAAAGTGGCGAATCAGCAAGGAAAGTTTCGACCACATCCTTCCAAGAAAGACCACTGTTGGTATATCAATGGCCAAATTTTACTTCGAGGATTTTTGGCTCTCTTCTAATAGAAAACGCACATCTGTGCTCTTCAGCTTCCTTATAAGGACTTGTGTTGGCCTACATGACATAAGACTAGAGGTTGACGCATCGGACCAATGTTGTAGTTGCAAGATCATAGAAGAAGATTACGCACGCTTAGAAAAGATCTCACAAGTGGAAACAAGACCATCGGTAAAGCTCATGATATTGAAAGGGATTTTTTCTTGCATATAGCATCAGAGCGCAATTTTTTTTGGCAGAA